TACCTACAATGTACCAATAAAAGAATTTAATACAAAAAAACCCCGTGAAATACTCAAGTGCTCAAGAAGTTACAGTGTGTTTATCCCATAGTTCAGTATTTTCTCAAAGTCATTTTGAGAAGAATGGTATTACAATTTCTTCATATTGTTGCCCATTTTTGTGAGATGCATATAGCATCCAGGCTAGGGGATAGAGGGCATGGGTTCCAGAAGATCCAAGTTCCTATTCTAGTTTCTCTAGGAAATAGCTTTATTGTGTTGAGCATGTTACCTTATTTTTCTGTGCTTCTGGTTTCTCATCTATAGGATGCAGACAATAGAAACCTATCTGAAGTTGGATAAACACTATACAGAAAATGGTCAATTGCAGTTAGCTTATTACTATATATGGTATTATATATGGTTATTAGCGCATAATCACTTCCATGTAAGGGAAAGAGATCTCATTTGAAGTATGACATTATTTACTTTTTTAAACAGAATCTTTTTCAAACATCTACTTATTTTATTCACCAAATTAACCAGGGCTCTTCATTTCTCCTATCTAACCTGTTTACTGATGTCCACAACACATGGAATGCTTGCAGCTAGTTAGATATGCTTTAGTACACACATGTGCATTCTTTTCCCACCCCTTACACACTTACAAAGGGTCAAGAGGACTTGTTCCCAAATCTGTTTATACCAGTTGCACAGTTACTATAATTACAGAATTCAATTGAGCAAAATGTGAACTGATTACATACAAGAACAAAATGAATATATGAATGTAAAGTAATTGAAATACTATGAGAAAATTTGATAATGGAGAGCTGCTAAAATTATTCAGGTAATTGTAAGTGAGGTGTTTTTGCTTGGGAAAAGTCTGTAAAAATCTGGCGAGATTCTGTGCAACATTTTCCCTATGTCTTTGACTCTTCACTCCATTAGAATTTGAGCTGGGGAAGCACAGAGGATGCTATTTGGGTGGGGTTTGTACTCAAAAAGCCAATAAACAGGAGTATGCTAAATAAAAGTCAGGCCATGTTTCTATATCAAAGAATTCCAAATAAATTTTTTTTATGTGTCATTTAGACTTAAAATGAATTTAGATATGTATATTTTTACAATACCATTAAAACTGACATTCTTTCTTAATTTCTTTGCCAAAGAAGTTTCCCTTTCTATTTAAATAAGAAATTAATAAAACGGAAGTTCACATTTATTTATTAGGAAAGAGAAAGTTTTCCTGCCTTAAGCTTAAATCAAATGTTGAAAATAATTCTCAAACTTCATAATTGAGCACCAATTAAATTCTGCACACAGACCCTTTGGAGAGATTTGCTTTTTGGAATCTTTTTACTTGCAGAGAAATCTAACATCTAATCAAGTATGTTTTTATTAGAAAGTGTCTTAGATTGCTAGACTAAAAAAAAGGATGCTATATTAATTTTGGTTTTCTTTAAAGTCTTAGGGTTTTTATTAGCACAAAAGCTGATAAATGTTTTACCCACACAATCTTGGAGACTTTTTTCTCCATGAGACATGATTAGCAACGTTGCTTATTATCATTAGTATAAATTCTGATTCTAAACAGGGCCAGAAGCTGAGAATATAATGCTTTTGTTTATATAAATATTTGACTGTATCCTAAGACTTCTTGTAAAGCAGCTGTAAAGTATACTTTTAGATTACCTGAAGTCATTTTAAATTTACATGTGAGAGGGTATTCTACTTACAATGATTCGTATTTCTCTTTGGGAGATCTCTATTTTCAATTCCTTGTATTTTTAATTTGCTTTGCTTCTTTCTTTCTAAGAGATTTTCTCTTGTATTGATTACTTCACTCGATTTTCTTTGTTCCAGTATTTGTGATAAAAATTGTTTGTCTTCATTCGCTGATGCCTGCAAAAAAGGTTTTTGTTCATTTTGTTCATGTATAACTTTAAAAAAATCGAAAGTGAAAAGTTTATCTGTATTTGACAAAAATATACACTTAATACAGTTACTCTAATTTTTGCTTTTTTCAATATAAATGACATATGGCTTACTTCACTTTGGGAATCCATATATTTTATGAGTCAAAACCTTTTAAACCTATTACATGCCATCTAAACTACAAAGTCAACTGTTACTTTGTACCGAGAATCAAACTTAGGACCTTGTGCTTGCCAGGTAGGCGTGGCACCACTGAGCTACATCCCTGGCCTCAGAGTCAACTCTTAAAAGCTAAATGCTATAAATAAAATAGTAAGAGAGTTTCACCAATTTACTCTTCCACTGGTTAGTTGTCATGGTAATCTCAATTGTGTGAGCTAAAGAAAAAAAAATGAAAATGTTGACATTGCCTTACACATTACAACAAATTTATAATTAATTGTGACTGTCTATTTAAAAATGTAAAGACATGTTTTCTTGAAGTGTTTTTCAGAAGTTATGTAATTAATCTATTATTAGGATGATGAGTTTAAAAGTTGTTTTTGAATAATGCAGTTTTAAAGAAAATTAAAAAGTTTTGTGGAGGTAAAAATTCATAATTTACATATATATATTTCAAGATAAATTATATTGGAAGTTAAATTTTTTTCTTTGTCAGTTAGTACTTCTAAGGAGTCAAGATTTTTTTCCTCCATCTTTTTCTCAGTACCCCTCTTTCTAACATCACTTTCCAGAATTCTTCAGTGCTTTCTATGTAGTACCAAAGACAGCAGAACAGTGACCCAGGGACCAGAGCTTGCTGTCACTTGTTGCCTGTAAGAACTTCTAAAAATAGTTTCATTGAGATATAATTCACATACAATAAATTAACTCACTTAACATATGCAATTCAGTGGCTTTTGTAATATTCACAGATACATGCAGCTATCACCACAATTTTAGAACATTTTTATCACCTCAAGAAGAAACCACAGATCCTTTACCTATCACCTACCCTATTTCCCTATCTCTCTACTCTCAGCCCCAAGCATCCACTAAGCTAAGCTATGTTCTGTTTTTACAGATTTCCGTACTCTGAACTTTCAGAGGAATGGAATCTTACAGTCCATCCCTCCCTCCTTCCCACCCTTCCTTCGTTCCTCCTCCCCTCCTTTCCTTCTCTCTCTCTCTCCCTCTCTTTCTCTCCCCCCTCCCCCTAGCCCCCTAGCCCCCTAGCTTTTTTCACTTAGGATAATATTTTCAAGATTAACACATGCTCCAGCATGTATCAGCCTTTTAATGTCCAAATGATATTCCTTATATGTATAAACCACATTTTATTCATCCATTCATCCAATAGTGGACATTTGGTTCTTTCCACCTTTTGACTATTATGAGCAGTGCTGCTATAAACATCCATGTACATGTTTCTCTGTGGACATATAAAGACTTTGAGTATAATTCTTATTTTGCAGGGTGGACAGATTCAGCAAATAAAAATATAAAATGCCTAGTTAAATTTGACTTTGAGATAAGCAAGGATTCTTTTTAGTGTAAAAATGTCTTAAATGTAGCATTTTAACAAATAAGAACAGCATATATAATGTGTCCAATCAAGTCACTGGCAGGTTTGCTGCATGCTATCATAGATATTGTGCCAGCTTCCAGGTATAGATTTCAAGGACTCTCTGAGCCCTAATATTTTGCAAAAAGAAAGGGAAAGAGCACAGAACATGTGTAGAAAAGGTTTTTGTTTTATTTTATTTTATTTTATTTGCTTTCTTTTCTTTAATAGGGCAGACCTAGAAGTGGCACATTATGCTTTCAGCCACTTTCCTTTGGATGAAGCTTAGTCACATGCCCCACCTAAGTACAAGGTGGCTGGGAAACATGATCTACCTTGGTTTCAGGAAGAACAGAACATGAAATTTGATGAGCTTCCTACATACTCTAGTATAATGGGATTATTATATTATTGCCATTAAAAGAATTGTCTTTAATTTTTAAATTAAAAAACAAGAAGTATCTAAGTCGAGGAGGCAGTAAAGCTTGACAATGTCTATGATTGTATGCTGTCCCTATCTCCTTTTTCTATGGAGGCCAGTGTTTTCTAACTTTGGTTTCCTCTCTCACCATTGGGAGTGAGCCAGCTGGATTAAGTATCCGGGAGTCTTGGAAGACAGAGGCTTTCTCTGAGTTTTAAAAGCATCCAAAGACCTCAATAACAAATATTTATTGAACATTTATCTCAGGTTATGTTCTAAGAGCTAGGGATAGTCATGAATAAAATGTCTCTGCCCTTCTAATGTCAATTTTCAACCGATAAAATGGAAGCAATTTAAAGTTAGTGTTATTGGATATAGAATGGTTATGGACATTCCCACACATTTGAGTAGACCCCTATGAAGGGAGAGAGTCATGCTTATATCTTAATAAAGAGAGTTCTGCCAGAGGGAACAGCAAATGCAAAGGCCTTGAAGCAGGAGCACAGAAGTGTGCAAAATTTGTTAACAGCAGAGCCAGGGGGCAGCCAGGCAGCTGTCAGGCTAGGCTCAGGAGTTCTATGTGAATGGGGGATGGCTTTGGAGGGTCCTGAGCAAGAGTGATAGTGACTGACTGGCTTTGATTTTAAAAGGATCACTTTGGCTGCTGTGTTGAGAATATTATATGTAAGAGTGGGAAAAAGAGGAAGTCAGCTGAAACAAACCAGGCGAGAGGTGATACTGATAATGACCTAAGAAGATGGCAGGAGGCGAAGTAATGACATTCATTGGTTCCAGGATATATTTCAGAAGTATTACTGACAGGATGTTCTGTGAAAGACGTACAATGTGTATTTTGTTTTTTGTGTTTTGGTTTTTTTTTTTGTTTGTTTTTGTTTTGGTACGGAGGATCATCCTCAGGACCTTGAGCTTGCAAGGCAGGCACAGTGCCATTGAGCTAAATTCCCAGCTGTATTTCAGTTTTTAAGCAGCACACCCAAAGGGAATATTTTGGCAAAGTATTTTTTAAACTTCCAGAGCTCATTTAGCCAGAGATTGAAGCTCTGTTGCAATAGTCTCCTGCTTCTTCACCTGCCCTCCTGTTTCTTCACTCCCCGAATCTTTGATTCAGGCTAGATGAATTTTTCTCAAGTTCCTCTATGAACACATCATTGCCCAACTTAGAGTCCCTCCATCCTCAGTGACAACAGGATATAATCAGACTCCTTTGCACAGAACTAAGATTTTTTCACAGTCTGACCTGAAAATGTCACAATGACCTCATGTCTTACTACTCCCACACATAAGAGAAAATCTGTGAGAACCAAACTCCTGTCACTCTTCCTAGCAGTATAGGTTCTTGCCTCCTTCCTTGCCCTGGCTTCTCAAGTTCTCATTGCCTGTCCTTACCTGTGATGCCAAGTATTATTCCCGTGCCAAGGCTCAACTCAAATTCTTTCTCCCCAAGTCCCTCCCTTGTCACTGTCACCCATAGTCACCACCCTTCCTTGGAACTGGTGGTTTCTTTCCTTCTTGGTCAACAATCACTTACTGCTCCACAGTCTCTAAGTGACATCATTTTACATTATCTATTTCCTGCTTTATCTACTCAATTTATTGCATTTTGTAAATTTTAAAATCTTTTTCATTTAAAGTAGGGTACTTTGAGTAGAGGGGAGTGTAAAGAATGTGTAGATTTCTTTATTCTGGGGAAATTCCTTATTTCCTTAAAGCACAGCAGGGATAGCAATATCCTCTTATAAGACCAGCTAAAAGATAAGTAGTCTTAGAGGAAAAGAGGTTAGAGTTTATCTTTATTTCATTAAGTTTATTGGTACATTTTTGGTATAAAATACAGTTACATTCATCATTGGGATCTTGTACCTTTACATGACTATCTTGGTTCTTATTTTTTTCCCCTTCCCCTGCCCTCCCTTCACCCCCTCAACCCTTCCCTATTTGGAAAGA